TAAATTTAAGAAAGAGAAATATTTGAAGAAGGAAAAAAATATCTGGAAGGAAAAGTTACATAATTTACCTGACAATGTAAAATATTTTGAAAAGTCAAAACAAACATGAACATATCATGGAATTGTATGCAAAAACCCTTGATATTTTAATATTAAAAAAACAGAAACTTCAAAGGAATTGAAAGCTGGTGACAAACTACTCCAAGCCCCTGAAGATTTCACACTCCACTGCTGTTATGGACACTTGATGAGGAGGAAAAGGAGGAAGAAGAGGGGGAGAAGGAGGAAGAAGAGGAGCTTAAGAGCCTGTGCAGTATTATGTTCTAAATAGGGTATTTCATGTTGTCTGAGAGTTTCACCAGTTGTGGGATAAATTTCAGTCCATCATAACTTAAGCAAAACAACAGTTTTTCAAGTTAGTTTTAGCTCATAAGCCTGGAGTATAGTAAGTTAGACTTTCAATTAAAATTGAAGAAGAATATAGTATAAAGAGACATGTTTCTTTAAGCAGACTACCAAATCTGATATTCCAGACATTGGTAAAAACTAGCAAAACAGCTGCCATTGAATTCTGGCTAAGCCTAAGGGATGCAGCATTACCCAGAGGTGGTGCTTGATGGTAAAGATTAGGAAGGATAAACAGCAAGAGTTGGTTCAAGGTCTTAGGGAACCCACACACTTGGACTTCAATTATTTCGCTAGTATTACTAATTTTGTGAAAATAACAGTAGATAAATATTTTTCTTCATCACATGAACTGTTAAAACTGATAGATTAGCCAACTAATAAATGTTAAGCAGAGCTTGGATTTTAGCTGAAATACATGATTGTGGTACTGAAAGGGGGCTGCAATAGAATGTTGGGGAACCAGCTAGTATTGTAAGAAATACTAATCCTGCTCTGTTAACCGTGACTGTTTTATTCTGACTAAAGAAGGCACATTCTACCCTGGCTGGACCTACCTGGAGATGCAGCCCTTCCTCCCCATTTGGAGCTGCCTATCACCATGAAAAGATTAACAAAGATTTGTTACAGAAACCAGGATCGCCAGCCCTTTGAAGATCCCAGTCTTTTTTTGCAGACCTGCAGGCCTTTGTCTATCTCCAGCCTGCTTTTATGTTAATTGTGGCACTCCCTTTGGCTATTTCCCTATGTAACCCCAGACCTTGCATACCACTAAGCCCTTTGAAGACCCCTAGTCCAGGGGTAGGCAAACCGCGGCTTGTGAGCCACATGCGGCTCTTTGGCCCTTTGAGTGTGGCTCTTCCAGAAAATACTACGTGTGAGCACGCACGTACAGTGTGACTGAAACTTCGTGGCCCATGCGGAGAAGTCGGTTTTCGGCCTGGACGAATCTATTTTGAAGAAGTGGTGTTAGAAGAAGTGGGGGGTGTCGGTCGGTGGGGCGACTGGAGACTTGGCACAGGCGGGCCACGGGATATGCAGCGTGGGAGAGGCATGCTCGATTCCTGCATGAGTTGAGTGAGCCAGTCAGTCAGCAGTCTCAGTGCAGTGGTTAGTGCTAGTCATGTCTGCAAATCACGTGCAGGTGACAAAAGTACCTACTCAAAGCGTAAAGTTACCTGTATTTTTCCAACCAGCTGCAAATCCTACAGGTATTTTTGTCATCAATTTAAGAATTGTAATTCTTTTGTGTTGGTGGCTTTATTATTATAAAATGAAACATTTTTTTAGGTGCCCTGTTTGAGATGGCTACAAAGAAGAAGCAAAGAAAAACGGAAGACGAAAACCGTGAATTTAAAGTTGAATGTACCTACCTATATAGTTTAAGTTTAAAAAAATTTGGCTCTCAAAAGAAATTTCAATGGTTGTACTGTTGATATTTGGCTCTGTTGACTAATGAGTTTGCTGACCACTGCCCTAGTCCTTTCGCATATCTATAAACTGCCCCTTTGCCTACTTTTCCTTTGTAGTTCTACCTATATAAGCAGCTGGCATATGGTGGGCTGCAGAGCAGATTTTTATGGATAACCTGCTGCTCTCCCATACTGCCAGCAATATTGGAATAAACAATCATATATGATTCAACCCTGTCTGTGATTAATTGGCTCATGTAGTGACAGGCAGCATGGATCTATTATTTGTCTGGTTACAATACCAGATACAATGGGTCCAAGGACGCCTGTCATTACTTGAGCCAAATCAAACCATATATTTATTATTGAAAGAGATATATGAGCATTTATTTCAATCATGTTAGCAGTATGGAGAGAGCAGTCGCTCACCCTGGAAATTCTGCTCTAACATTTAATTTTAAACAAACTCTTACATAGAGTTAGTGGATGGGGAAGAAATCTAAAGCTAGTGAATTCCCAGAGGCTGTCTTCTTTCATTGTCCTTGCAAAGATTAGCCCTGGAACGCTCTCTCCCTTCAGATAGGTTACCTTGTCTCCAGGGCCTGATCTCCTTGTAACATGTCATTCTGTTTCCCAGGGTCTGTAAGAAAACCTCTTATCTGTAGTTAGTAGGTGAATAATCATTAAACAACTGTGATCCTACTCTTACTACATGTCCTTCCCCCTCTCATTTAGTATTATCATCTCATACCTATGAAATTAGCTTTAAATGGAAGGTGTCTTGTTGAACTGTATTTGTCCTGTCCTGTTGTATTTTCCCCTTATGGATTTTTGACTCTGATTTCTTTCAGGGAAAAGGGGCATAGGGTCTCTTCTGTAGCTGTCCATTTTCTAACTGAATTGTTTGTTTTTTATGTTGAGTTGTATGAGTTCTTTCTATAGTTTGCATGAACCCCTTACCAGCTATATCATTTGCAAATATCTTCTTGCATTTGGTAGGTTGCTCTTTTGTCTTGTTGGTATTTTGTTTTTGCTGTTGTTGTTTTGTGCTGTGCAAAGCTTTTTGGTTTGATTTAGTCCCATTTGTTTTTTTAAAACCTTTATTGTTGTAAGTATTACATATGTCCCTTTTCCCCCCATTGACCCCTTCTAGACTGTCCCTGTCCCCCACCCCATCTCTGCACCCCCCTATTGTCTGTGTCCATGGGTTATGCATATATGCATACAAGTTCATTGGTTGATCTCCTCTCATCTGCCCACCCTCCTCTGCTTTTTGTTTATTTTTGTTTTTGATGTCTGGCCAATTTTATCTTAAAGTCCGCTGATTAGCAAATATATCTCATTTACTACGTTAATTGTCCTATGCTATGAAAAATGACATATTACAATTTCTTGGTGCTAGGATGCTAGCATGTTTTGGATATGTTCATCCTGCCTACTATATATTATTTGGTCTCTCAAGAACCCTCTATAAAAGAATTAAAGGAGGCATTTTCAGGACTATATCATATTATATTCTTCAAGAATCCTTAAATAAAGTAAATGAACAATGAATTTATAACACCCTCTCAAATTATTAAATACCCTATTTTTAAATGTATATTTTATTGATTTTTTTACAGAGAGGAAGGGAGAGGGATAGAGAGTTAGAAAGATTGATGAGAGAGAAACACCGATCAGCTGCCTCCTGCACACTCCCTATTGGGGATGTGCCCACAACCAAGGTACATGCCCTTGACCGGAATCAAACCTGGGACCCTTGGGTCTGCAGGCTGACGCTCTATCCACTGAGCCAAATTGGTCAGGGCAATACCCTATTTTTAAAAAATTACATGCAACTGTGATTTTGTTGTTCAGAAAATCTAAAACTACCTGCACCTGATACTAACAGAGAACCACAGCCTTCTACTCAAAGAGTGGTCCTCTGATCAGAAACTGCAGCATCAACATCACATGGGTGATTGTGTGATTCTCAGAATCTCAAGCCCACTGGGACCTGATAATTCAGATTCTGCCTTTGAACTAGACTCCTGGGTGACTCATATGCACAGTGAAGTTGGATAAGTGCTGGTCTGGCCTAGGTGTTCTCACCTTTACATGCAGTCAATTGAGGCAGGATAATTACTTGTGTTGGGTATTGTCATATAATATACTAGATGCCCGGTGCAAGAAATTCATGCACGGGGGGGGGGGGTGAGAGGAGGGAGTGCAGGGAAGGTATGTCCCTCAGCCCAGCCTGCACCCTCTCCAATCTGGGACCCCTCAAGGGATGTCCGACTTTCCCGTTCAGGGATGTCCGACTGCCTGTGTGGGATCGGGGCCTAAAGTGGCAGTCAGAACATCCCTCTCACAATTCAGGACTGCTGGCTA